AAAATAATTAGCTACCCATCTTAGTCTAGAAGGTCAGAAAGCCTAACCCTAGTTATTCCCCTAGGGTCATCCTAATAAATTGGCTCAGCTTATATTCAAAGCTGATTGTTACTAATTACATAAACTGGAGCTGGTCCCATTAGTGACATGGAAATAACTTAATGAGGCTTTTGTCTCAGTTCATTTATGCTGCTATAACAGAATACCTGAGACTGGGTATTTCATAAAGAACAGAGTTGTATTTCCTACAGTTCTGGAGACTACGGTGTCCAAGGTCAAGAGGCTGCATCTAGTGAGGGCTTTCTACCAACATCCTCCTTTGGCAGAGAGTGGAAGGGCAAGTGAGCAAGAGGGCCCTGAACACATTTTATAACAACCCATTCACAATAGATAACCCACTTCCAATAAAATAACGTCAGTCAGCCCTTATTAAAGCTCTCCTCCCAACATGGTGGCATTGGGGGTTAAATTTCTCACATGAACTTTGAGGGACACATTCAAACCACAAAAACTATAAAAGTGCTGTTTTTAACAACCTCCATGTTGCTAAATCCAGTGGAAAGTCTTCTAGTTTTGTCTTACTTGCCCTCTGTCAGACACATTTGTCTTTATGATCATTTTTCTCTTGGACTTCTTCACCATCACACTTCCTTGCTCCTTTCCTATGTCTGTGACCAGTTCTCTAGGACTTCTCCTTTAACAATTGGAATTCCCAGGTTACAGTTCGACCTTTCTTCTTTTCTTTCTGCTTTGCTCACCCATAGGGAGATAAGATTCATTTTGCAGGCTTTATAAACCATTTGTGCTAATGTCTTCTAAATTTCAGTCTTCTAAATTTCGATCTTCTGCCTAGCCCACTCCTCTGCAATCTGGTTTTTTCAACGGCCCCATTTTATATCTGTTAGTTGCCTTTCAGGCATGAAAAACTTAATGTCTGCACATCTTAACTCTGCATATTGTCCTTTAACCATTTCCTCTTTCAATTTACCAACATTGGTGGTGGAACCTCAATAGCATACAATTGCTCAGCAATGTTCTAATACCTAACAATTATTCCTTCCTTTCTGTCACTCTCATATCCCATTCTTTGGAAATTTCTGTTATTCATGCCATCGGTATATCTCAAATTTCTTCCCTTTTGCCTACATCTACTGCCACCAACCTGACTTAAGGTACCATTCTCTTTTGCCCAGATGATTGCTATGACTTCCTGTGGACCAAGACCTCCTATTTCACCTTTCTTCAATCCACTGTCTGTACAGCAATTAGTGTGATTTTTTAACATAAAAATCAGATAATAACCCTCCTTTGCAAGACCCTCCAGTGATTTTTGTTTTTCGCTACACGTAGACTAAAATTCAAACTGCTCATCATGGTACTCAAGGCCCTCTAGGATCTGGCTCTGCCTATGTGTCCAACGTGCATATGCTCCTGGAGTTTTCTTCAAGCTGCTGAGACTGGGGTTTGAACCACAGTCAGCCATGTGGTATCAGGCTCACTTAACCACTGGCCTATGCATCTGACCCTGGGACTAGAAAATTAATAAATCTAAGAGATGATCTTCAAAAAGAGAGAAAGTAGAAACAAAAACATGGGACAAACAGCAAACAAATAGCAAGATGGTAGACTCAACTCTATCAATATTTACATGCAACATAAATCTAATTACTATTATTAAAAGAGATTGTTAGGGGGCCAGTAGCTGGCATGGTGCTTAAGGCAGTAGGCTCCTGCATGACTGAGCACAGTTGAAGCCTGGACTTAGCAACTTGAAAATCACTCTATGTGGGACCAGCAGTTAGTGTAATGGCTGTGTCGCTGGATTCCCACGTAGTCGACCGTGGTTCAAGTCCCGGACCCGGTGGCTTAAACTCACGCCGGGCGCGTGTGCGTGCGTGCCCAAGATCCCGAGAGGAGAGTGGAAGAGAAGGGATTGCGGCGTGGCCATCCCCCCTGGGGGGTGATTTCCTGCTTTCTGTCTCTCTGTCTCTCTCTGTCTGTCTGGCGAGCGCACACGCCCTATAGCAAAAACCTCTCAAAAAAAAATGTTTAAAAAAAAAAAGAAAATCACTCTATGCACGTGTATGTGTGTGTGTGTGTGTGTGTGTGTGTGTGTGTGTGCCCAAAAATCCCAGGAAGAGAAGAAGAAATAGCAGTGTGACCATTCCCCCAAGGGGGTGGTTTCTCACTTTTCTCACTGTTTCTCTGTCTCTCTCCAGCAAGTACAAGCACCCTATAAAAAAAAAAAAACTTAAAAAAGAGAGAGATTTCTGAACTAGATAAAGTGGGATTCATCTGTATCTGTCCATAAGAAGCATACTTAAAAATATAGTCATCAAATGTGTTTAAGTAAAATATGAGAAAAAGATTCTCCATGCAAACATAAATCCTAAGAAAGCAAGAATATATTAATAATAGACAAAATAAACTGAAAAACAAGATCGTAACGAGGCATCTTAAAAACCTTTCATAGTGTTAAAGGAGCAAACCATCAAGAAAACAAATCAAACCAAGGTGTGTGTGTGTGCATGTTTGTGTGTGTGTCTGTGTGTGTGTGTTTAATAACACAGCTTCAAAATACATGGAGTAAGCAAAGGAGAAATGAACAAACCCATAAATATCATAGGTATTGCCACATCCCTCACTAACTCATAGAACAAAGAGATAAAAACTTGAGCAACATTCATAACCAGTGTGACTTAATTGACTTAGAACTACACTAACCAAAGAATACACATTTTTAGTGAACACAGACTATTCACCTAGCTAGACCACACTCTTAGTCACAAAACATGTCTCAATAAATTAGAAGAATTACCAATTTTAGAACATCTAAACAACAGACACACTAAAAAGTATTATTTGTTTTTATGTAATAGAGATCCATTTATTTTGAGGCTGAAGATTATAACTTCCTTCTATCACCATTGCCTTAAAATGTTTTCTCAAACAACCTCAATTTTCTTTTTTATTAACAACTTCAAGTATTTACGAAGACTTTGTAGTAAGCATATGTTAAGTATGAGCTGGTAAAAGAAAGAAATATGTTATATATATGATATATATATGTGATATATATGTGTGTGTGTGTATATATACATATATGTTTTAAATGGTAGGGCTCTTATGTTAGGTTCTTGACATTTTATTTTGGCCAAAAAATAAAAATTAAAAAAAGTATAAAGAGTGCTGTTGCTAAAAAAAAAAAAAAGAAAAAAAAAAGGAAAAGAAAAAGAAAAAAGAAAGAAAGAAAAGAAAAGAAAAAGTTTGAAATACCTGACCAATCTGGAAGATCCATGTCAATTGACACACTATAAATTTGTTTTTTCTGAGTATTGTCAACCCTTGCTTTGGATGCTTACCGAGTACCAGTCATTGTTCTGAGTACTTTCCATGAATTCGTTCTTGCCCTTATTTTCTTCTATATAAGTGAGGAAAATGAAGCTTAGAAAAGTTAAATAACTTGTCTCAGATCACTCCAATAAAGGCCAGTGCCAGAATTTGAACCTAGTAAAGTTATTGTACCGTGTAGTTTTCCATTTTCAAAGCCAGTGTCAGACACACTGGCATTAGACACAAAGACCTTCTGATTTTCTACTTCAGCACTTTGTAAAGTATTTAATTGGTTCTCTTTTGCCTTGACTTGAAATTTGCCTCTTCACTGGTCTGTCTTGTTTGATAAGTTCATCAAACATCAAGACTCTTTGTTCATTTTCAAAAAGGATTACAATGATAAGCTTTTATAATTAAGAGCATCTCGGCAGAGATTTCCTTTACCACAGTTCTCTTTATCTTCTAATTATTAGAGATGAATTTTCTGATTTTTCAAAATTGTATTTGCTTTAAATGCAAGTTACAAATTAACTGCTTATAAAAATGCTTTCCCCCTCCTGAACTGTTACTTAAAGGAAATCTCTCTTGCTCTAGCATATAAAAGCAATAATGATTCAAAATTGAAACATCTAACAAGAATTTGAATAAAATAACTATTTAAAATCTTCAATGTTTAGAAGATGGGAACTGCTTTAAAGATCTCCCAAAGGTAAAATAAGGGGCTGCTTAAGCAACACAAAATACTTGATGTTAAAATATGTAACACATGAAGCCAAGTTGAAAATCTCAAGAAAATAGACTAGATAAAATGCAACATACATATGAAAATATCACCTCCATCTCTTACCCCATGGCAAAAGGCAAACTCATTTTTAAAACAAATTGACCCAACATCTCTACAGTCCCTTGCCTTTCTTAAAGTGATTTTGCATACATTATCTAATTTTATCCTCCTAAACACGATGAGATGGTATTCTTATGCTTATCTTTTACAAATAATGAAGTAGACATTAACTGTCCAACATCACTCAAAAGAACTACATTTACTAAATGCTACTATAAACTGAATTTATTTTATGTCCATGATTTTATATCATCTCCATTAACTCTTATTTAAAAAGCATTATGATCGTGGGACCAGTAGGTAGCATGGTAGTTATGATGCTAGACTCTTACAACTGTGGTTCGAGTCCCTGACCTGGCAGCTTGAAAATCATGCTGGGCATGTGTGTACATCCTCAAAGGCCCAGGAGGAGAATAGAGGAGAAGGGATTGCGGCATCTTCCTGGGGTGGGGGGTGGTGATGATTTCTCACTTTCCCTCTCACTAGCGAGTCCATGCACCCTCTGGCAAAAACTAAAGAGAGAGAGAGAGAGATTATGATTGTTATTTTACAGATAGAAAAACTGAGATTCAAAGAGATGAAATGATTTATTATTTACTCTGGAGTACCCAGATCCCAAGTAGTAAGCTGTGACTAACACATGGGCCAATCTGACTCCAAATGCATGGTCTTTTCACTGTCCCACCCTCCTCTGCAGGATACATACTACCATGAAAATACCTTACATTCCATCCTAGCATAATCTGCTGCACACATACAAGTATCTTAGCTCCCCAGCAAGTAATCCCCAGGTACAAATTTTGCAGACATCTGGCCCACTTACTGGTTCACCTTCTGTGTAGTTACTCCAGGCTGACAAGTCATCAGCGACAAGATGAAGAAAGTGACAGCCAACATCTCATCCAGAAGACACCACACCACTCTATGATATGCTGAAGAAATGTAAGTATTCAGAGACGAGGAGTAAAAGAAGTCCACAGGCTGCAACCTGTCAGATCTGTCTAAAATTTTAAAGTAACAGGATTCACCCAATTCTCATTCAAATGTGGTTAATTAATAACCAGGGTATTGATTAACCAAACACTCTAAAAGTGGCCCAAACAGCAAAGGCCACTGTTCTTTAGACCTTTAGAAAAACAACATCGATGTGGGTAAGGAAAGTACGATATTTAACCAATACACAATTAGCAAAGGGATCTTACTTTCAGGCAGAGGTGAAAACCAAACCAAGTTGCAGTTCCAGAATTCTATTTTGAGTGGCTCTGGGAACTTCTGAAGTCAGACCAGTCTGTTTTTCAAGATTGAAAAAAGGCAAATTTTGGTATATCAGATCAGGCACGAAGCAGGCAGAGAAATGGAAGAGATGCTAATGGTTACATGGAGGTTCTACTATGTATTGACAAACATCTGGAGCCTGAGAACATCTGTAATTCAACAGATACCTTTCACTTTTCATATAGATATGAGGTATTTATTATTATTATTATTATTATTATTATTATTATTATTATTTTGGAGAGGTTATTGCTATAGGATGCATGTGCTTGCCTGAAACACAGAGAGAGACAGAAAGTGAGAAATCACCCCCTGGGGGGGATGGCCATACCACAATCCCATCTCCTCCATTGTCCTCTCAGGATCTTGGGCACACACATACAAATGCCCAGCGTGAGTTTAAGTCACCAGGTCCAGGACCCAAACCACAGTCAACTATCTAAGAGTCCAGCGACATAGCCATTACGCCAACTGCTGGTCCTGACATCGGGTATTATTAAGGTACAGCATATCAGTGTTTGAGGGGACCAGATGTCTTCAATAGACATCTCCAGCCACATTCTCTAGAATTAGGATGTCAGCAACAGTCACTCATCTGGATTGATGATCACATGCAGCATCTTACTCTTCTCAGACATAAATAGAGGTGAAAGATGGATAGGTAGGTAGGTAGGTAGATTATATTGAGTCATCGGGGAAGTCATGACACATTTTTGCATCGCAAAGCAGTTCTCGACTTTCCTGACAACCTAATAGATAGACGATAATTAAGCACCTACTATGTGGCTGACATTTCATATGTTTTACTTTGTCTTCATAAAAGTCTGTAAGGTAGAAATTATTAATTCCATTTTGCAGTTGAAGAAATGGAGCCCTGGGAAAAGTTAACTAACTTGCCCAAGGATATATAGCTATCTCAGTTTCCTTGGGGATATTTGATTTTTATATTAGCAGGATTAGCCAGTAGTATTAATCATCTCAAAGTTATAGAATAACTTAATAAATAATGTATGTTTAAGGGATTTATGTATGATTTATATGTGGAAATTTAAAAAAGGCCTTCAGAGAGGTGCTAACACCAAAGGAAGTGTTACATCTGGATACCTTTGGGCCAGTCCAGGTAGAACATCTGGAATCTACTTCTTTCCCCCAACTCACCACTTCTCTGTCCCATCCATAGGCAAAGTTCCTGCATAGATGTACAGAATCCCCTGGAAATGTAACTCTGGTTCCCCGATCACTGCCACAGTATTTGGAGCATGAGACACTCCTCTAAGTCAGTGTCTTCCAAGATCCCCTTTAGGCAATGTTCAAAGACAGGTATGGTTGTCATGACTCAGAGGGCTGGGCTGCTGGCGTCTAGTGAGTAGAGGCGAAGGATGCCGTTAAACATCCTACAATGCACAGGACCACCTCTCAACAAAGAATGATCTGACCCAAGTGTCAAGAGTACCTCAGTTGGGAAACACTGCCCCACAAAAAGGCCGGTCTGCCTTTCCCTCACCCCTGGAATCCTGGTAAGTTAGCTGACTTTTTATTTATAAACGCATAGGCAATAGTATCTTCCTTCCTAAACCAGTTCCTTCTTGAAGCCTATCTGGTGCCTTGTTGTTTTTTGTTTGTTTGTATGTGTGTGTGTTTTTCCCATGACCTCAGTGGCATTCAGGATTTCCAGACCCCATTGCTCAATGTGGTCCCTTCGCCTATCATATTCTTTCATAATAATTTTCCTCCAAGCTTCCTTCCTTCAGCCTCATTGCCTTTGGTCCATTTCAGGGCTTCATCTCTCTCTGAGAGGCTCCTCGTGGGCCCCTTTCTCTTCATTCCAAACCTCCCTTTACATCACCATTGCGTTTATCTTCAAGAAAACTGGCCCTGATGGCATCACTGTCCTTCTCAGAAAGCTCAGTGGCTCTCTCTTTGTTTATAAAATTGGAAGTCCAAATTCCTCCACCCATCTTTGCAGCCTTACCAGCCACAGCCCTTTCACTGTCCCTCTCTGTGTAGGGTTCCTTTTACCCTCCTCACACTGTCATTGCTGTGACTTGCTCACATAGAGCCTTCCACCTCAACTGTCCTTTTCTATCCTCTCCTGCCTTTCTGCCAAGCATCTTCCCTGATATCAAGTCCATCCACAATCTGGGTTGATGGCTCCATTTGAAAGGTATCTCCTTATTCTCTAAACTGCATAAATGTGAGACCTCACTTTTAATTTCACCTCATATTATGTTTTCCTAGGGGAGCAGGGTATATCTGGAGAATGAATATTTCTTTAGGGTAAATTCTGTGCCTGGTTCTTCTTTATAATCACTTATGTCACTTACTGCTGAATCTTTAATAGGAAATATTTGTTGCCTGTGAATTTATGAATAAGCAAATGAGTCAATTAAAAATAGATTACTATTTCATAATACTTTCATGTATATTTTCTCATTTAATCCCCCAAATAATCTTGTGAGATAAATATCATTATCTTGAAGAGAACTCTGAGAGTCAGAGAGACAGTAATTAAGGTAGAAAACAGAACCAAGATTTACAGAGTACCAGGCTCTGGGTCTCTCACTTTACATGTCTATTTAATCCACACAGCAATCTCGCAAGGCCAGAATACTAATGTGGTTTTGAAGATGAGGATATTGATATTCAGAGTGGTTAAGGAATTTGCCAGCAAGCACACAGCTGGAGAGCCTCAGAGTCACGGATTTATAACCTGTCTGACTTTGAAACTTGAGATCTTTAAGGTATGGTCATACAATTATGAAGCATTGTATCTGGACTAAGGTCTGGGTCATCTTTTTCCAAGTCTAGTTTCCTGTCCATTATGCCTTACCAAAGAATACAACAACAGAAATAAAAAAGAAGTGCATGAAGAGAAAAATCACAAGATGAAATCAAAGGAGAAAAGCTAGGTCAAATGGGATAGTTCTGTGTCTCTGAGTGTGTATGTGTGTGTGTGTGTGTGTGTGTGTGTGCACGCACATGTGTACATGCACACACGCATACACTGGAAGGGGGGCAGGGCACCCATCTGCTTTCAGCCAACATGTTGTAAGATGAATGGGAAATGCCAAAAAATTGTTAGGTTTGCATATGCGGATTTCACCTTAATTGTAGCATTCTGTTATCAAAGATAAATAGTTATAAAATACCATGTAGAATAGACAGTGAGATGGCAATTCATTGTGAAAATGCATTGCCTGTCTCAGGGAAACACTCTTCACTATCTAAATCAGCCTGTGAGTTATGGCCTCAGAATGGAACATGTCCTATGTTGGTTCAGCCTGCCACCACAGGGTGACATTCAAGTCTGTGCTCTCTGAAAAGCTTTCAGAAGCTCTACGCCTCATTCCCCTCATACTGGACCTGAATCTCACCCAATCCAGAGAGGAGATCGAAATCCTGCAAGTAGGATGCAAATGAAGACAATTTGCTGGAGCAAAACGAATACAACTTTAGGTCAGAAAATGTCACTGACCAGTTACTGTCCCCTAGCTTTACTGACCTCATCTGTAAAACAGATAAAATAACACTCATCTAGCAGGGGAAGACTGAACACTAAATGAGGGCATGTATTAACAGCTGGGCATTTTGAACAGCTGTTGCTGCTTTTTTTAAACCACACTCCCCCTTCTCAGTATCTATTTTTCTCCATTTATATGCATGGGAGCTTCCGTTGAAATACCAAGAAGGGGATGAAAGAAAAGGCCCGGTAATGAGACTATTGGAGGGGGATAGAAGGTGGGAAGTTCATGTCCAGATGCCTTGGGCTGATTTTGAGTCCCTCTGAAAGTTAGGTGCCACCAACTGTAGCTGATAGGATCATTCCAGGTGGAAAGTGGCAGAAGGGCCTCCTTCCCCATCTCTGCCCAGGGTGCAGTACCATTGGGACTTCAAGGATTAAAAATGAGAAGTCTCACAATGTCTAGCAAATAGGAAGATTTTCTGAGCAATCTACTGGTTGACATTCAACATGATGGCCTAGTGTGCAGTACTGTGGGTTTGTTTGTTTTTTTGGAGAGGTATTTGCTATAGGGCGCGTGCCAGACAGAGGGAGACAGAGAGGGAAAGCAAGAAATCACCCCCCAGGGGGGATGGCCATGCCGCAATCCCTTCTCCTCCATTCTCCTCTTGGGATCTTGGGCACGCACGCGCATGCGCCCAGCGTGGGTTTTAAGCCACGGGGTCTGGGACGCGAACCGCGGTCGACTACATGGGAGTCCAGCGACATAGCTATTATGCTAACTGCTGGTCCACCAAGTAGGGGAATGATGGTTTGCTCCCTCACTAGAAAAGCTTGGAAAACATTCAGACAATACCAAGTCTACAGACATACATGAGCTTCTCCTGGCCACTGCCTTTCTCTCTCTCCTCTCACCACTTTTTGTAAGATTACACGTCTATTATATCAGGTTTTCCTCCTGATTGCCTCATCAGTCCCTGACTGCAACCAACAGACATTAGTGGTGGGTTTTCAGCTGGAAATGAAGTGGGGCTGGTTTGAGTAATTGTTCTCAATCAGAGGCTTTACAGTGGATGGGCTAATGTGTGTTGACTGCTCCCCACTTCATCCTGAAGCTTCTTATTTGCATTTCAGGGGGTGGGATGAGAGGGAGTCAGTACCTGACTCAGTAGAGTAGAAATTAAAGATCTTTTCTCAAAGAAGGCATTCAGAGTTGTAAGCACCCCTGGTCAGATCTGGGTGATCCTTTGGGAACCCTGTCTTAGAATTTGGGTGCAATAAGCACCAGAGTCAATTACGGACCCGAGCAAATCCTCATGGCTTTGTATGTGGGTCAGTGGGTTCCTTCCTTGGATTCCTTCACTCACAGCTTGCTACAGGGTGGCCCTCTCCTCTGTTTCCACAACATCTGGGCACACCACCTTGGTGGCTTGTCAGTTATCCTGCTTGCAATTCTGTGAACTCCTGGAAGGCAGGGCCAAGGCTGATCCAGAGTCTCTGTGCACCAGATGTGTGAGAGTCACACGGGTAGATGGAACTAGCTCCCCAAGGTCAGACTGGCCTCATCTGCCTTATGCAGGCAATAAGGGCATGTGCTGTGTGCAGGGATATTCAAAACAATAACGAAATGCACTAGAAGTTGCTTAGTTGTGTGTGGTCACCATGTATAGGCTATTCCAAACAATGTCCCAGGCAAATGGTCTTGTCCCCCAGTTCCCTTCCCTCTGGCTCCTCTCAGCACCACACTGAGATACCTGCTTACTTTCCATTCTGATTCACCGTGGGCTTCCAGAGGGAGTAGGCTGTGATTGCCATCATCTTTCTACTCTTAGTGCTGGCACATAGTAGGTTCAGTTATAGAAAGATTGTAGTTTTAAGTCTGACCTACCTGGATTGAAATCCCAACACCATTAGCCAGCTGTGGAGCTCTGGGCAAATAATTTCACTACTCTGTTTTATTACTACTCCTCTATAAAGGATTCAATGGTTGTTAGATTTCTAAATATATGTAAACTATATACAGGAAGGGTGACTAGGGTGACACATATTCCTACACACACACGGTGACATACACATGCCTATGCAGAGTACCATGATGCAAAATCATGATGGAGGCAGGGCCAGCAGGTGGCCTAGTGATTAAGATGTTGGACTCCCAAGTTGTCACCCACAGTTTGAGCCCTGGACCTAGTGGCTAGAAATATGCCAGGCATATCCAAAATTCTGAGAGGAGAATGGAGGAGAAGGGATTGCAATATGGCCATCACCTCTGAAGGGTGATTTCTCATTTTTTGTCTCTCCATCTCTCTGACAAGTACACACACCCTATAGGAAAAATCACTCAAAAATAAAGTTATGGTAGATACTGTTTTTCTTTGCAATCCTCTCACTTCCTGCTTTAGGCACACCCTCCTGTGGTCATCAAGTGAGGGCTTGCTCTCAGCCAGTCAGTCAGCAATGGCATGAACTGCTGTAGCACAGGAGTGTGTATGCCATTTGTCTCTGTGTCTTAGGTACCTTTATGTAATCAGCCCATGGGCATTTACTATTTAAATGAGGCCACTTAAAGACATTGTAGCCTCTAAGTCTCAAACCAGTGGTGATCTAATGAACTGACAGTCAAAGCATAAGTGGGAGGGCTGACGCAGCCCATTTTGTTCACCATTTCATCACAACCAGGGACATAATGTACGCAGCAACAACCAGTCATAGCATTCATCCCACCCAGGAGTAGGGTGGGGCGTGGTGGTGGGCACTGGACATCCAGAGACTGAACACAGTTCTTGCCTACTGCAGGACCATGCCTACGCTGAGCGTGCCTCGGAGAACTACAGAGCGCCACGCTGGGAGCAACCATGAGAAGTTGCTGGTATGTGATTGGGGTTTTGAAGCAGGAGAAGAGGGTAGGAAGGTTAGTTGATATGAGGTTTCTTTAAAAAGAGAGATGAAGGAAGAGTGAACATTCCAAACAGAACAAACAGCTTGAGCAAAACAGACAGATACAAAGGAGCATGGCTAGGCTGAGAATCAACGAGCTATCTGGTGACTGGAACCAAATAGGAAGGATGGGCAGAGGGCAGGCAAGGCCCACATCAAAGGACTTCAGGTTTTCTGGGTTGCTTTATTATTTTTCCCTAAGACTAAGATTGGCATTTCATCCCTAAAGACCTGGAGGCACTACTGAATAAATTGAAGTTGCAAAGCCCTGTGACCAGACTTGCACTTTGCACTCCAAAGGCCACCTGGAGGGGGAGGGGGGAGGGGTAAACCTGAGACTGGAAACAGAGAAGCCAGCTTAGAGACTGGCTTTGGGGGGGGTGGGGGAGGGACACTGGAATGCCAGGCACCTACACACAATGGGAAGTCCTTGGAGGAAGAGGGAGAGAAGGAAGTTAGAAACTCCAGAGTCAGGCACCTGGATTCTTACACCGACTCGTCTCAGGTGCACACTGTGTGATCTTGCGACAGCCGTTTGACTTCTCTAGATGTCAGTGGCCAACCCTGAAGGCTGGGTGCTCCCTACTACTTCCTCTGGTCTAAACTTTTTTTTTTTGAGAGGTTTTTGCTATAGGGCACGTGTGCTTGCCAGACAGACAGAGACAGAGAGACAGAAAGTGAGAAATCACCCGCCAGGGGGGATCGCCATGCCACAATCCCTTCTCCATTCTCCTCTCGGGATCTTGGGCATGCACACACACGCGCCCGGCATGAATTTTAAGCCACTGGGTCCAAGACTTGAACTGTGGTCAACTACATGGGAGTCCAGCGACATAGCCATTACACTAACTGCTGGTCCCTCTGGTCTAAACTTTTATTCTTTCATATTCTCGATCTAGCAAATCTCTCTTGAAACTGCAGGACTAGGAAAGTGAAGATATATATATATATGTATATGTATATATATACATATACATATATATATATACATACACACACACATACACTATATATATATACACATATACACACATACACATATATATATACACACACACACACAAATAAATGTGTATATGTATATACATATATATACACACACATAAATACATTTGTATGTGTATACATGTGTGTGTGTGTGTGTGACCTCAATTCAAATCTCTTTTAATACTTTCATTCAAGATTTGTCTTCCCATGAGACACTCTGGGCTGTCAGTCTGTAATTAGACTCTCCTTGCTTATAAAGCCAGGCTGTGTGGAGTGGGGAAGAGCTGGATTAGCCCACTGTAAACAAATTTGGTCAGTCCCTTTCTCACCAGTTTCCGTTCCAGTTGAGTGGATTTCAGCGGCTCCTGGGTGAATGTTAATACCTCCTATGTACACAGCTGTAAGAAAAACAATAGCCACACATGCCTCACCTTCTTAAGAAGGCTCTGGGTTTCACTCCTCAAGCATTTTGGTGACACAGCATGGGGTGTGGGGAGGGTGCTGCAGGGAGGCCATTCAAGGAAGCTATTGGCTTGTCAGGAAAGTCATGATGTACTTTTGCATAAAAAAATAAAAAAAAGGAAAATACATCATGACTTTCCTGATGACCTAATAGAACGAGTGACACACAGGAGGTGGGACACCTGGGTTTCAAGGCAAGCTTAGCCACTGGTTTTCTTTGTAACCTTACAAAAGTCACTTTAGCTCTCTGAACCTTGGGTAACTCAATGCGGCTACGAACTGGTGGAAAGAGTAATTGAGATGATGCCTGTGGGAGCCTTTGGTAAATCTCTGTGGACGAGGGAGCCTACATCAAAGATCACAGGCTCAGCTTTCCATCGCAAAGGATTATGGAGTCAAGGCAGGTATAAAGCACACAGCAGAGCTAGGTGCAGCATTCCTGTCAGCATCAGAGTCCTAGAAAACAGGAGGGAGGGCACACAGACCAGCTGCCCATGAACTGCCCTCTAATGAACTGGCCCAAAACCAGATGTAGAGGCTCAACTTATGGGGGCAGAAAGGAAAGGACTGACGTTTACTGAGTACCTGCACTCTTTCTACAATCTTTACAATAGCTTCCATTGGGAACTCTAACGCCTAATCTAAATCTGGGGAAACTGAGGCCCAAAAGATTAGGTGGGAAGGAGAGAGGATTTGAGGCCAGGTTAGTCTGACTTCAGAGTATGTCTATGACCCCTGTCTTGCACGACAAGCAAATAACTATGAGATTTAAATGGGAGACAGACATATAGTTGGTTATGAAGAAAACAAGTGATATTTTTGGAGAGCACTACTAATGTTTTCAAGGGAGGCAACAAAGAGGATGAATCCACATCATAGAAGCATCATGAAGCTCAGGAATAAAGCATTTAACAGACGTAAGAATGTAAGGTTCTTTGTTGAAAATGATGTACATGGTAATATCCTTTTTTTATTATGATCACACATTGCATGCAAGCTTTGAAAAACCATATTGTACATGATAAAGATGTACAACAATACTAAATAACGAATTATAAAATAAAAAAGCATCATGAAGTCAGGGGCTGTTTACTCTCTGTAATATCCTGAGCCAGAAACACTGCCCAAAACAGAGCAGGTACTTACTGGGAAAACACGTGAAACCGTGAGGCTCCTAATCATTTCTTGAGCTTTTCTAACCTATAACAAATAATAAGAAAGGAAAAGAAAGTCCTCTACCTAAATTGTCCAGGAAATTTGAATGCATTTGTTCTACTAATTATTTCAACTTTTACTACTATGTAACAAAACACCCTGAAACTCAACAATTAAAAACAACAGATCTATTATTTCTCAGGAATCTATAAAAGATTGTTCATAGGTTGCATTTGGCTGAGAGCTCAACTGGGGCTGGAAGGTCTTCTCCTCTTCCAGGGTTTCTCTCTACATGGGCTCTTATTTTTTTTTTTTTTAGAGAGATTTTTGCTATAGGGTGAGAAACAGAGAGAGAAAAAGTGAGAAATCACTCTCCCCCAGGGGGGATAACCATGCTGCAGTCCCTTCTTTTCCATTCTTCTCTCTAGATTTTGTGCATGCACACAAACATACCCAGCGTGAGTTTCAAGCCTCCAGGTCTGAGACTTGAATCATGGTTGGCCATGTGGGAGTCGAGCACCTTAACCACTCTGCCACCTGTTGGCCCCTCTACATGACCCCTTGTCACTTAGTAGTATAGCCTACTTTGCAGCCCAGGAGTGCAGGCTTCTTTTTAGCACAGCAGTTGATGCTTACCGTAGAAGAGGATTCTGCTTACATCATACTTGCTAATGTCCCTTTGGCCAAATCAAGTTTCATGGCTAAGCCCAAGATCAGTGTGAAAAGGGACCACACAGATGTGTGGATATTATGAAGTGTGGTTCATTGAGGATGTCATGATGAAGTAATAAATGTAAAGCTCTTAGAAATATACCTGACATCAGGGCCAGCAGATGGCATAATGACTACGTTGCTGGACTCCCATGTAGTTGACCGCGGTTTGAGTCCCAGACCCAGTGGCTTAAACTCATGCCAGGCACATGTGCATGTGTGCCCAAGATCCCAAGAGGACAATGGAGAAGGGATTGCAGCATGGCCATCCCCCCGGGGGGTAATTTCTCACTTTCTGTCTCTCTCTCTCTGTATTTCAGTTGAGAACATGCACCCTATAGCGAAAACCTCTCCAAAAAAAAAAAGAAAGAAAGAAAGATATCTGATACTTACTTGGTATTATCTAAGCATCAATAATAACTAATTATTAATAGAAATTATAGCATATAACTATTACAGTTATTATTAAGTTCCTCATTAGAAATGCTTTTGTTTTACTGACTATGAAATGAGAATCCCCCAGGCTTGGGAAGTTCTGGTTTAGTCCTCAAACTCTGAGCGTATTGTCACTCTATAATACTGAAACTACAATTGTGTTTGAATAGCTGAGTCGGGAACAAAATATGAAATTGGATCCTTCTTTTTCCCCCTCCCCACCTATATCTTTTTACATAGTTACCCTAACCCTAGGTGTAGTGTTTTTGTTTTTTGTTTTTGTTTTGTTTTGTTTTCCCAGAAATGATACTGGAATCTAAAGGAGGATTATTCATTTCTATAAGAATTGATTCACTCAATAGGCATTCCTCCAGGTCCATCGTGGCAATCTCTTTTGCTTTGCAGAGATTCTTTGGAGATAGACATGGGACCCAGGTCTAGTAGATGAGTTACATGGAGCAATCTGTTGGGTAACTTCTGAAGATTGTCTACTCTGATGAGAAGGTAGAGATGAGCAAGAAGAATCCTCATTTCCTTTAATGCTTTTGAAAACAGTTGTATGAGAGCATGATATTTGGAGATGCCTTTGTATGCCTCTGATACCACTGTGAAAAGAATATGTTTCAGGCAGCTATCTAGTCCCAGGGAAAATGGACACATGGGGCAGAAGAGTCCAGCAAACCTGCACACTTTCAGCTTCAGATAGAGCCACGTGGTCAAATCCAGTCTCAGTAGGCTGCCCCCCTAGCTGCCACAGATCTGTGAGAAAGAATGAACATTAGACAACTGAATTTGGAGATAGTTTGGACAGTTGTTATATAGCATGATTGTGACAGTATCTAACCAATATGACATCTTATTCTCTGATCTGCTGTCAACTTGGTTGCAGAATTTCAGGTCTCAGTCCAGGAGCACCTTGATATGAAGGGAAACAGTATACAGTTCTTGTAGCAGGTACCGTACTGTTTAGAAACATGAAAACGTAGTCTGGATATCACCTCTAGGTCATGGGGCTTTGTCTTCCCTTTGTGCTTGCCTTGCCCTGAAATCACTTGATTGCATCTACATGGAATTACACTCAAATGTAGTAATCCAGCATTTTGGTGCTAGGAAAGATTTCAGGAGAGGATGATCAGATCTATCTGGATTGCAGCCCCCAAACCACGACTTCACTCCTGGTTTCTGAAGGTGAGAGACTTACTGGAATTGCCCATAAAGGAAGTTGAGATCGAGACCCACAGAGTAGTACAGTTAGGGTAAGAAGGCTGAAATATTGGATTGAGTCTATCCTTCTTGCAGCGAGTGACCAAAAAGCTATGGATTTACCAACAAGATATGGGAAAGTGGGTTTAGATAAAGCTTAGCCGAAAGCAGTGACTAGAAAATAAGACCATATTTGGTGCATACCCCAGTTCAAACGACTCATGATCAATCTGCTCCACTTAGTTTTTCTTTCTGCTTAAGAAACTCCTTATTATCATTTCTTAAAGTGGAAATTTTATCTTTAAAGTGGAAATTTTATCATGCACTCTTTCACCTGGACCATTGACAAAATTGCACACACTGGCATCAACTTGGCTCCCTTTCTGTTTATCTGTATATTTTTATTTTACTTTTTGTTTTTTTGCTTTGTGCTTATCAATTGTTTCTGTGCCTGGCTCTCGCAAGAGAAATCTTTCCAGCAGCATTCCAACGTATACATAATTGCAGCCTCCTTGTCTCCAAGCTTATAGAAACTTTCAAGGCATGTTAGTCAAGTATAATTACAATTGTTATTGCTAAAATTAAAATTATTAATGGCAGCAGCAGCAACTCCCGTTTTCTGAGCACTTTCTACATGTCTTGCTCCGTGAGGGGTTCTGCATACAATTTATCCAATCTTCATACTGGCGCATGAGGTGGATATTGTTATTCTATGTTCTCCAATGATAATAAAGCAACATCTGTTTGCCACTGCCTCTGCATCAGGCATTGAAGTGAGCGCTTTACGTGGGCTGCCTCTGTGCCTTCCACAACAACTACGTGAGCTGCAGTGCTCATTTTCCATTTGTCAGTGAGAAATCTGAGGGTCAGGTGGGTGATAGGCTTTCCCCACATCATACAGTCAAGAAGAGAGTATCTGGATTTGAACTCTGAGCTGGATACTTCAAAGCCCATGTCCATGCCTTTGTCATTGACTCTCAGAAATGGAAACCATATTGCACCTCTGGGTGCTCTGATTTGGGAGCTGCAATCCAGATAGGTCTGATCATCCTCCCCTGAAATCTTCCCTCGCACCAAAATGCTGAATTGCTACATTTGAGTGTAATCCCATGTAGATGGAATTTCAGGGCAGAACAAGCAAAAAAGGGAAGCAAAAGCTCCATGACCTACAGGTGATATCTAGCTAGTCACTTCCTTTCCCAGCTTCTGCCTCAAAGCCCAGTCTCAGAGCCAGCATGAGCCCTCCCTGCAGATGCTGGGCATTTGACTGAGGGGCAGCCAATGGGTATTACAAAAGAAACAAATGCACAGGCATTATTATTTCACAAAACTTTACAGTTTACAAATCCCTTTCATGTATTTGGAGTCTTGTATCTGCTCTGGAAAATAAAACCATGCTGCCCAATCTACTCACCTGTGGGAGACCCAGTATATGCCATGCTCTTTGCCAGACAGTTTCTAGTCTAACACTCCATTTAAACCCCTCAAATGAAGACTGAGATTAATAAAATGAAACAGAGATTATTATTCCCATTTTAAGGAAACAAGAATTGGTCAGCCCATGGTGCAATGGTTAAGCATCGTGTGTAGGGGAATCCAGATCCCACGTGGCTGACTGTTCAAATTCCGCCCTGGTAGCTTAAAAAACACCCAGAAGTGTGTGTGTGCCTCAAATTTTGATAAGATGGAGAAATGGAGGGGAAAAAATTGCAGTGTGACTACCCCACATTAGAGGAAGCTTTCTCTTTAGTTCTTAGGAATTTTGATCAAGAAGGAACCCCATTGGGGCCAGCGGATGGCATAATGGCTACTCACTGGACTCCCATGTAGTTGACCACTGTTCAAGTCCTGGACCTCGTGGCTTAAACTCACACTGGGCTTGTGTGTGTGTGTGTGTGCCCAAGATCCCTAGAGGAGAATGGAGGAGAAAGGTTTGTAGTGTGGCCATCCTCCCTGGGGGGGGTGATTTCTCACTTTCTGTCTCTCTGTCTCTCTCTGTCTTTCTGGCGAGCACACGTGTCCTATAACAAAAATCTCTCCAAATAAAAAGAAGGAACCCCATTGACCTCTCCACCTGATTCAATGACAAGATCCTAAACATGAGCCTGGACATAACATTGCAATGGGCAATACTTTTGGGGGCATTTGGAGGCAGTGAGTGTAGTTGTCATGTAGAATACACAGAAACAATTCATGACCAGAGGGCAGATTGGGGCATGATATTTTTAAAATATAATCCCAAAGACAAATAATAATGTGATTGAATATATGGAAGAAAATGAAATGAAAATAAATAAATAAATAAATGATATAATCCCAAAGCTCACTAATGGCCTCTTTCTTTTGAATCTGAGCTCTAGAATTTCTTATTCTATAAAATATGACAGATGTGACACTGTGCCAGTTTCCAGACCCAGGCCTTAATAAACTGACAGCTTCTGCTTCCTGTCTCTTAGGACGCCTGCTCTTCTAACCCACTCACCATATTTTGAGGAAGCCAAAGCTACACCACAAAGAAACCATGTGAAAAGGAGCTGGTGAGTAGCTTTGCAGAGTATGCATGTGAACTGTCTTGGAAGAGGGTCCCAGGTGAACTGCCCTAGTCACTGCTGCATAGGGCAGGGATGAGACATCCCTGCTGAGCCCTAGCCAAATTGCAGCTTTATGAGCAAAAGACATGATTGCTTTCATGGTAAACCACTATGTTGGGGGCTGATTAGTTATACCACAGTAGATAGCCAGAAGAGAGCAAACCAAACATTTATGGATCCTATTCCCTATGGTGAAGCTATTGCATTGACAATCATTCTGAATTGTGATAACAATCCATTAAATAGGTGAAGATACTGTAGCTAAGATAAACAATTTGCTTGAAATGCCCTACCTAGCAAGTGGGTCTGCATGGATCTTAATTCAGTCTGGTTGAGGACTCTAGTCCCCAGCCTTTTCCACAAACCCATGGGGCACTGAGGTACACACTACCTCTCCCCAGCTCCCAGCTACCTGCGGGGATCTGTAGCGAGATCCTACATGGACTATATGTGCAAAGCAGACACACTGGTTCACTTTAGTCTTAGATTACGTGCAATGTGTTTGGAAGTAAACACATCCAGGTGCAAATTCCAGACCCAGCTCCAGAGAGTGTCCCTCTGGGGTAATGCACTGACTCAGCTGAGCCTCTTTCTGGCTGTGTCTCCTTAACTCACCACTTAACTTCCCTGAGTGTCAGTTTCCATGTCTGTAACATGAGGACAAAAATTCCTACTACACCGTGTTATTGTAAGACTAATGAGAAAATGTAATGGAAATGACTTAACACAGTAAGCAGCTCATAATAAATATTCAATAAACTGAGGATCC